GAAGATCCTCCTTTAAACAAGTTTCCATTTGTACACATTAATATTGCCGGCTGATTCTGTGCAGTGATCACAAAACTATAGAATTATATTTGTTTTCTTTAACTCATTTCTTTTAGTAAACTCCGTTATAAATACTTGAATATCTAACATTTGATAGCTCTCCCTATAGCTCCCAAAGGCAGAGATGAATATGATCGGGCAGCGGAGATGATCAGACCATTCTGATCGAAACGTCGAGTCTTTCCCTCCAGGTTCTCCTCGGAACCTCGGAAGTCGAGTTCAAGTCCATCATATGTGCCTCACATGTGCCTCACATGTGCCTCACATGTGCCTCACATGTGCCTCACATGTGCCTCACATGTGCCTCACATGTGCCTCACATGTGCCTCACATGTGCCTCACATGTGCCTCACATGTGCCTCACATGTGCCTCACATGTGCCTCACATGTGCCTCACATGTGCCTCACATGTGCCTCACATGTGCCTCACATGTGCCTCACATGTGCATCACATGCCCATCACATGCCCATCACATGCCCATCACATGCCCATCACATGCCCATCCCATGTCCATCACATGTCTATCACATATCCACCACATGTCCACCACATGTCCACCACAAGTCATCCAGTCCCAAGTCATGTCACAAGCAAGCTGTTTCAACTAACTGTCACAAAAGCATTCCCTTGTTACTGTTCCTTCCCTGTTACTCTTGACTAGTCTTGTACATTGACTTGTGATGTACTTGCGAACAGACTTGTGATGGGCCAACTACAGGAGAATACTACCATAATGCTATTGCAAACTTATCAAGGTTGTGGTCAAGTCCATCACTAGTCCTACAGTCTCAACTCATCTCACAAGCTATTCAAATGAATTGTAACAAAGGCATTCCTTTGTTATTGTTCATCCCCCGTTACTTGCGACCAGTCTAGTAAATTGACTTGCGATAAACTTGGGACGGACTAGCGATGGGCTCCGTGCACAAGTACCCCCTAAACGGTAAGAAAGGGAGAGTTTGGGAGAGACCACTGGGACAGACATTGGAACGCATTGCCGATGACGCCTGACACTCATGCGAAGACGCTCTGGCTTTGTGCACGTTCACAATATAATGAGCCATGTGTACTTTGCGTGCAAACCAGTACACGCATGAGGTGTGTCCTATCCACTGGGCTCTCAAAAATGGCAAAAAATGCAAGGAACCCATAGACTCGACCACAATGGCCAAGTTCGGGCAAGGACCATTAGTCGACTAGTGGTTGATTTGTGACGTACCTTACGCCTGCACACTGATAGCAACGTGCGAACGTCTCTAGTCGAACGCTGGTCAAAATGTCATCGCAAAACTTCTGGATCCTGGCTCTCTGCTAGCGTTATGAATGCGCGCGGCTATTGGTTACCAGCGAAGCAACCAACCCCAGTAGGCTGGTTCCAAATAGTCGACTAGCGTAGTCAACCACAGTCGACTAGACAGAGTTCGGCCAAACGTTAGTTAACCATTGGTCAACTATAGACCTTGCGCGAACTTGGCCAATGCTGCAAGTCGGCAACCTCATCAGTTTTCTTGTCACCTATGCAAAGATTTTATCAGCGGACCATTTTGTGACACTGGCTTTGAACGGCATCTGGTAATGGGTATGCGGACTTGTCACACATCTCCAATGCACGTGGCATTGTACATGTGTTAACACACATGTTTGTTTTACATACCTAATGTGGACATTCCTTTGTTTTCGTGTAGTTAAGAAAAACCAGTGAAAAAAAATCATTTTTCTCAAACTGTGAAAACTCTTTCAACCCCAATTTTTTTTTCTATTATTCCCTTTAGTGTTTCTCTTCATTTTGCCACAGATAAACCTAACCCCCTAATGCCTCTAAACCTGTTTTCCAAAGAGGGGGAAACCTTGTGTGGACGTGGACAAGTCCACACACCGTCACTGCTACCTAGTGAATGTGGACGTCTTTTGTTCGGAAGTCCACACAGTGAATGTAATGCTTGTCCAAGTACACATTCCTATCACGTATTGCTTACTGCACTGCCACACAATTTGGTGTCACAATCGATACGACGTCATGGAAATTTATTCTACATCTAAACATAATACAGTTTTACTGCAAAGTCTTCATCAGCAGCACAATTTTAAATAAATGCTGGCAGCATCACTACATGATTATACTCATGAATAATTTTTGCATTGCCTCAAACGGCTGCAGAGTTGTTTGTATTATACTGCACAGCATGTGCTTTGCACATAATTTAAAAACAAAAACTTAAAACATTAGCAGAGTACTTTTGGTTCATCATAAATTTTAAAGGCGGCCTCAGGTCGACCTGCAATTTGCTTGCGCCGCGACGGAATTGTCGGCATCAAGAAATGCTCAGGTCACAAAACTGAGAAATCATGTGATTTTCATGGAACAAGCCGCATTTCAACACAAAATGATCGTAACCATGGCTCAGGTTACCCACAGCATGATGACGATTCCTCGGCACTGATGTGATCATGTGACGTCTTCAAAATGGCGGTGCGCGTGTTGATAACAATCAAACGAGCAACCATTCGACCATTTTGGCCGCACGCTGATAGGCTGCACAATGAAATAAGATGATCCAGTTGCGCGCACGATATCGTAACTTCAACTGCCATCAATTCCCTCCTGTTGGCAACACGTTCTGACAAGCCACAGTAGCTGAAATTTGTCAACTCTTGCGAATGTTGAGTTTTTGTTGCGCCTACTGATGCCGATCATCTTAATATCATCGCAGTTACACTCAGGTCACACAAAAAATTGGTGACTGATATGTTCCCAACAGTCATTGCTCATGTGCAGCTTGATCCTGAAAAGTCAGTCGCCGACTGATCTGTGTCATTGCAAGGTCGACCTGAGGGCGGTCTTAAGGAGGCAAAGTACACCCTTTTCTTACTTCAATTTTTCATTTTAACAAATCTGAAAATAGACTCTCTTTTGATTATTAAGGATCGCCAACAATCTGTTTTGGGACACTAGTGCTAAGATCCTGTGGGCAGTTCTTGTGAAAGCGGACATTCGCTTCGACCACATTAAGAATATGTGTGAGGAACAAGAGTGACAACATAATTTTGAAGACGGAATAACGAACAGGGAAAACAGAATGTGAAACAAACAAAAAAGGAATCAAATGTCTTTAGAAGGATATCTGAACATGAAAACTGATGGAAATAATAGATTTCTTGGAAGAAAAAAAAGAGGAAAAACAAAAATGATGCAAAGAAAATATTCAAAATTATCTGAAATAAGGAAAATATAATTTAGTTTGAAATGGAAAAAGTAGAGCCGATTACTTTCCATGTCAAATCGACAAATTTAGAGATGACAAGTTTAAAGGCAATAGTACAAGATATATTTAACTTTCATTCATAAATACGTAAGACAGTTTAAACATTCCTATTGGTCGAGAGCCCGTCGCCGGCTGGTTTTTAACAATTTATTCCTGCACCGCTACGTTCTGCGCCACATCGCCCAGTACGTGCCAATTTCAATAAGGGGATTTTTGGCACTATGCCAGCGAGTCACATACTACCGACATGGCCAGAGGGATGTTTAACAAAACATGAAGTAATATTGTTGAACAAAATCGTTGAAATTGTGTGAAGTTTAGTCTTGTGCTGACGTTTTGACCAAAAGGCTTTTGTATTATCCGCGTCGAGGCCCCAAGCTGGTTAAAACATACTTGTTTAAAACCGGCCAAGCGCATATTTATTTACTTAATAGAATAATTTACTAAATGATTGACATACGTGGACAATTTTTTAATTTTTTTTTGGTGAGGCTTCTTCCAGACATTGCAGCGAAGGGAACTGCCCAAAAAAATTGTACGTGTTAATGCCCTGTAAAAATAGACTGACACATTAAATGTTCCATTGTGGATTAGCTGACGACTTTTTCTCCCAGATTCCAGATTTCACACAGGTACAATCATCACAGGGTCATTGGGAACTGAAGTTGATTTTCCCTGCCAAGTCTGCCTGCCAGTGGCAACTGAAATCTCAGTATTTCTGGGCCCAAAAAAGATATGTGTACAAATACAAGACAAGGGACGCCTTGTAGAGCTGGTCCCAGAGTGCGCAAAATTCTAGGCATTACGGGCGATTCTCAATACAGTGCGCCACCAAGAGCTTGCCAGGGAAAGTCCACTTTATGCAGTACATTGTGGGAGACAGTCGACACGTTCACCATGGTGTGGGATATGTAAAATTGTTAGTTTGTCCGGTCAGTAGCTTTGTAAGCGTATGATTCAAGTATCTTCTTTTCTTTTTTTAAATCCAGATGGTATTTTTTGAGATGCGACAGAATGCCATGCCTGATCTATCAAAAATATCCTGAAGTTATCTACTGACATTCCTTCAAATCGCAGGAAATCGGCCATGTTTTTGTCAAACTGAGGCCGTGTCCGAAACGGGCTTCCAGAGCTACGGCTACGTGTATTGTCAGCGCGTCCCCGCGTATTTTCAATGGGCGCAGACCTAGACCTAGCTCTAGACAACTGATTCGGATGCAGCCATAAACTTGAAAAATTGACTCTCCGTGGCAAACTTTTGGTGGCGCACTGCATGGGGAATCACCCGTATTGATTCACAATGGGTATTCAGTGGAAGTCCTTTCGTGCATCTGGTCTACACAATGGGCCGGATTCAGCCCATTCACTGATGTTACGGGGTAATCCTATACAATAGCACTGCCCGACTCACTTCACCAGTCAACGACCAGGCCAAGTCGCATGTGACAGTCAGTTAGTGAGTCAGTCAGCCAGGTACAAAGACTATGAGCGTTTTCGAAACGACTGGCTCTGGCTTCGTCTTCGGCTGAATGACATTTTAGGCCCCGACTTCGGAAACTCCAGCTACATTTTGGTGCCTGTTATGCTTCAGGAACATTCAATCGGTTGATATGAAGACAAAAGTTGGAATATTTTCGTTTAGTTTGCCTCTCAGTGATTCAGAAGTAGCAGGTGAAGCTGAAGCCGAAGCCGAAGCAAAGGTTTCGAAAACCCCTTATATAGCCTGGCCCCTGAGACCAGCTAAAAAAAGAAAGAAAAGGCAAACAAAAGCAATGTTTTTGAAAACCCTTCATACATATCACGTGACAGGCATACTTAGCAGAGACAATACACATCTACTGGAAACTAAGGCCGTACATCATTTTTTACCAAATCATTAATTTAAATGTACAAATGTCTACTTGGTTTTACAAAAGGCCTCGTCCTCGTCCTCTGACATCACTCCTTCTCGTCCTCCTCCCTCCCATTCAGCTGTGAGTCCCCGCCCCCTGCTGCGTGCACCGAGGGCTCGCTGGTCTGAAAGAGTGAGTTGCCCACATCGTCCGAATGCCTCTTTTCACTTTTCAAGACCTCGATGACTTCCTCCCAAGCGTCCAAACACTGAAGGAGGAATAAAAAAAAGTAGAGAGGGCACGTGAAAAAAATTATGTTGCTCATTAGTTTCACTGGGAGAGGAAAGACTATGCCACTTCTATATTATTTTTAAATATTTAAAAAAGTTATTAAGGCCAAAAAAACAAATAAGTCGGTCTCTGGTCAGCGCGCGCGTCAATTTTAATCATGCGCGTCAATCTTTTTCTTTTCCAAAATGTTCCGCGGTAGCTCCAACAGCGCCCTCTAATTGCTGCACCTCCTCAATTTTTTTTACCAAAGAGCACCAAGGAATGGGAAATTGCACCAAGGCAAATGATCGAGAGCACCAAGGCAAATTATGGAGGACACCAATGTACATGAGGACACCAAGTAGCAAAATAGTACCCCACCTTGTCTGTACAATCCTAGCTTGAAGAAGCCCAAAAAAAAAGAGGCCGCGTCCCCGCGTCAATTCCGGAACTTTGGTCTGACCAGAGACCGAATATTATTTTTTTGGGGGCCTAAAATCGAACATTTTCCAAATGATGATCAGTTACCGTACCTACTAACTGTTGATACAGTTTCATCAGTTCTACTGTTTTTACTGTTCAACTAAAGACAAATTGACAGAAGTTGACTGAGAATGTTTTTAAGTACAGGTGTTCCAACTATACCAATAATTCATAAATACCTATGCAGTTTACCCATTCCTATTTGGTTGAGAGCCCATCACGTGGTTGATAAAACACCAACTGGCTTTAAACACTTTTTTCCGGTGTCACATGAATTTGGACTCTTGAAATCTGGTCCCTTTTATTGGTTGACGTTCACAATCTTCACCCAGGCATGTGGAATACTACCAATGAGTCCATATTTCACAGAGTCCTAAATTCACACTACACTGGCATCGCTGCATTCTGCGCTACATCGTGCAGTACGCGTGCGTCAATCTCCATAAGGAGATTTTGGGTATTACTGGAGAACGAGGCACATACATGTACCATAAACATAGCTTAAGGGGTGTTTCACAAAACACGAAGTAACATTGTTTGAACAACATCGTTGGAAATCTATAACGTTTGGCCTGTTTTGACTTTTTGACCAAAAGGTATTTATGAATGGGAATAAATTATGTGCTGGCCGGTATTAAACAAGTACATTTAAAGCCAGATGGGGATCTTCTTCTTCTTCTTCATTCATTCATTTTCATGATGACTTGATGAGTTGGGCCCAACTGTCCCTGTCGAACATAGTGTTGGAAAGAGATGGACCACTCAGACCAGTTTCTAGCTCGATGGATGTTTTCAGGGTCATGTTGGGACGACCTTTTCGTTGAGGGGCTTCAAGATTCCAGAGGAGAACTTGACTAGCTGGGGATCTGGTTGCCGATAATAGCCCTCGCTTTCGGCTCGGGCCATTTTCAGTGTCCATAATATTTTGCATACTCATGAGCTACTTACTGAAAAAGAAACTGTTCGGCAAAACTCACGAGGAGTATCAGTAAACAGCAATAGACATTACATGATCAGTTTGATTATTCCGTTCTTAATTGACGCACCTGTTTGTAGCTTTCCACCTGTCCTGCAGCCAGACCGGTGAACATCTCCTTGACGTCTTTCCTCTTGTTGCGATGCCATCGCTCCATGTCCGCCTTCATGTCGGCGTTGGCCACCTCCGACTTGTCACTCAGGAAATCCACCTGCTTCTGAAGCTGAAAAAAGTAGAAGGGGGGGGGGGAATTGTAACAACAACGGGAAAAGGTTGAAATCTTAATCTGATCATAGATGTATGGAAGGCACTGTTTGAGAACAACCAACGTGACATCATCACGCTTCATGAATATTTAAGTTATTTTATAGGGGCTTACCTTGAGGAACGCACCGCTTGAGAACTATCAACATTGGTAATAATCACATTTGAATACGGGTCATTCTATAAATTTAGGCTCTAAAGTGTGACATTTCTTCTGCTCCTGTTAACTTGGAACTTTTGTAATTTGCCATTTTAATATCAACAAGAATGACTTCAAATGTTGGGTAGGTAGTTTGCTATTCATGATCTCTCTTGGAGGATGACTGCATTAACCCTAACCCCCTTGAGTGATTTACTAAAAACCTTCCTCACTCTTGCAAAATCCAACACCATACGGTAAACTCTACACCCAAACTGTTGGACTCTGATTATGGTTGTATGCCTGACCCAATGTAAAGCATAATCGGTTTACTATAGTGCAGTACTCACTCCAACAGATTCCAACAAAACGTGCTGCTGGATTTTAAAGGATTGGTGTGGTTAGAGTTAAGGAATTCATCAGAATTATCAAATCACAGACGTCAGACGTAACAGGGACAGGAATAAAAAGTGGACCCCAAATTTATAGAATGACCCCTGTGTATGAGTTGTGATGATTTCCTATTGGTTGTTCTCAATAAGCGCTGGTCCGAGGAAAAAAATGTTAGCCAAGTCCGTCACAAGACAAATCACAAGTCAGGTCACAAATAACTGGGGACAAACAATGACAACTGAATGTTATAGTTCTCTCTCAAATGACGTCATTTCCTACAGACCAGCCACGTGCATCGGCATTTTGTGCGTCAACTTGCATAACGCCTGTATTTCGAACACATTTCGAGCAACAAGCGCACGTGTTTGGAACATTTTCAACACTGCCCAATGCGTGTTTGTGTAAAATACGCAGTTGCAGTTCTCCTACAGAGATGGCTGTCTCTGAGAGAGACCTATTGTCACAACTTGTGATGGACTTGTGATGGACTTGACAACACCTATGTACAGTAATATCAACAATGCACACAATCCATTGCCAATTCGTAGTAGTTCCATGTCATTTGATGAACATTATCAGTTAGTGAACTAAGTGAACAGTGTTGGTTCTCTTCTATGCACAAGTGACACATTAGAGGACTGCATGCCACTAATAAAACTAGTTACATGATGACGTGCAACTACGAACAGGATTTGTACAACGTGCATGGATGGGGGGCGACTCAGGGGTTTTGGAATAAAGGCTTTTGGTTGCGGAAACAGCACACAAAGAGAATTCTGATGCAATACACTTGCAGGAATTTAAAAAAAAACAAAGAACTTCCGACAGAAATGACAACAAGTTAGAGAAAAACAGAGGGGAAAATCCTTCTTTTTTTTCTTTCAAGTAACCATTCCCAGGTAACATTATCTGTGAAGTTTAATTTCCAAATTAATTTCCAAATTAAATCCACTTTTTGCAATAGATTCTATGCTTAGGCATAGAAAAAGATTTATGCAAAAATCAAAAACGAATAAATAAATAAATTAGCAGCCCTTAGGAGTCAGTTGTTAGTAGCAAGAATAACCATCAACCCTGTCTCAATTATCGAGCTTAAAAGAAAACTACATACAAATGGATTGAACAAAAATTCAGCAAAACGAAGCAACTAAAAATTTACTGTTGGGATTTTTTTGCCATGCCAATTTAAGACAAATATTGCAGCGTTTCATTTACTGTAATAAAGAAAGCCAAAATGTTAATTCAGAAAAAAAAAATTATAACGGCTTTTTTTCAAAGACAACCTAGAAAGGGGCAGAGGACCGGTGATTTTGTTACAAAACAGCAACCACTCATAACAGCAAAAAATAAGAACGCACTAAGACCCGACTTTAAAAGTGTAAACAACTTTCTCGATTTTTCAAAATCAATTTTGACACAGCATGGAAAACTGGACCACAGAATTGCCGACCTTGCTGCCTTAACCTCTTTTGACGTATTATGGTTGACTGAAAAATCATTCCATGACCATAACCGTCTCTACACAATAATTAAAATTTTGCCTCTACCCTCTACACTATCCAATATAAGAATTCTGAACCCTGGTTTTGTTAATAAGAACCAGTTTAAAAAAAGGGGAAAAAAAGGGGCAAACAAATATTTTCTTAGAAAGTTTGGGTACCTTGTCAATTTGGCTTTCTAGCTTGGTACTCTTGGCCTCTTTGACGTCGCTAGGGTCTTTGCCCATTATGGCCCCCAGAGAGTAGTTCTGGTCCGATATTTTCACCTAGGCAGAGAACAATGCCAGGTGGAGCATTAAGAGGGTTTTTCCAATTCCAAACCTTAGCTTCTTTTTCCTGCTTCAGCTTAATATCTGTCTCCAGGAAAAATTATAGTCTCAAACTCAATGGAAATGTAGCTACTCTGAAGTTGGTTTTATGTATTAGGATTTGATCTTCCTTGAGCGGAACAAGGAACCATATTAAGCCGGATTTCTTCTCAAGACAGGGGCCTGAAAAATGTCCAGTAGCCGAAGTTGGAGACGAAGCCGAGCTTTCGGCAAATGCTCCCAAGATATCCAGGGCTCAATTTCATAGAGCTGCTTAACAGTTTGCAGAAAAGTTGTGCGTACTATATTAGAAAATGGTGCTAACCTTAAGCACTATTTCATGGCACAGATGTGCTAACGACTGTGAGCGTGTGGAGATTTCTATCGTTTCATCACTGATTTAAGCAACTTTCTCCTCTGAGGTAAACATGACTTTTGTGTGCTTACTGCTTACGGTCTTTATGAAATAGATGAAGGTTCTGTAATAGCAGAAAATTGTGCGCTCAGCAGTGTTATAGGGGCCAGTATCATAACACCGCTAAGCACACAGTTGTCTGCAGTAGGTAGCACAGCTTTTCTGCTAACTGCTAAGTAGCGCCAGAAAATTGGGCCTAGGACATGAGGGAGGGGAGGGGAACTGTGCTTATTGGCTCTGCGCATTGTCAGTTGAGGGCGCTGTTTTAACTATCAATGTGAGCCACTGTCAGTGCTACATGTACCCTCACCGAATTTTGTTGAAGAATTCCTGTTTTATTTCTGTTTAAAACACGTTTTTTCCCTGTTTTTAGGTAAGAAAACAGGAATAAAATACATTTTTTTCCCTGTTTCCTGAAAATGAGTATGTTCCACCAACTGTTTCCTGGCTGTTTTATTTGATGACATTTTGTTTTTATTCTGTTTTGTTGTGACTCACACAACAAAACAGGATAAAAACATGTTTTAAGGATGTTTTTAACGATGTTGCACTGTTCTTTTGCTGTTTTGGTGGAGCCTAAAACAATATTGTAAGCTAAATGTCTGTTTTAGTACTGTTTTTTGGGGACTTAGAATTTTTTTGAAAAGTATTGGGCTAACCAATTGATACATCAATGTCCAGACTGTTTTTTCCTTGTTTTCTGGTTGTTTTCGTTCTGTTTTCTGGAAAGGCATATGCTACCCAGAGTGCACTACTTCCTTTGACCTTTGGTGACCTCATGCATGTACTGGGTGTATGGAAAATTTTATTTCAGTTACAATTTGAATCAGTACTGCAGTGGGCATAGGACAGGCAGACATGTAGTCAGGAATAATTGCATCAAATTTGTGATTGTACTCTTTGTCTTTTGCACACACGTAGCTGTCAGTATGTTGGGGTGGTGTTATAGACAACTATTGGATTAGTATCTGTCTGGTTTTATAGCCAGTACTTTGAATTTTTGATGTGATCTGGCAAGTCATGGTGCGTGTAAATTTATGCCTGGATTGTTGCATGCACAGATATGCATAGAGAATGAGTGCAATTATCATCAACCATAGTTGCATGGTAAGTTTCTGTATTTATGCATGTACCATTTGGATTAGCTAGATAACATAGATTGAGTTGATCTTGTTATTTTTTGCCATTTTAGAATGCTGTAGGTATAATCATTACGGCAGCCTGCTTTCACATGATTTTTAACTGCTATTGTTACGGGATTCTTATCAACAGCTAGTTGACTATGCATGGTTCCCTGACCAGCAATTTAGCCTTAAAAACAACTATTTTTCAAAAACGGTTTTCTTTTAATAACCATTTTTGAAAAAGAATTGTTTTTTAAAAACGTGTTTGAAACAGGAATAAAACATATTTTATGGTTAAAAAAACCAGGTTTGAAACATGTTTTTAAACTGTTTTATTTTTCCCCTGTTTTTTGAGGTGGCGAAATCCAACCAAATAAAACATGTTTTTTAAGAACAGATTTGTTTTTAAAAAACGTGTTTCAAACTGAATCAAAACATGTTTATTTTCTGTTTGAATTCGATGAGGGTATGTTCTGCTTATTCTTGCATACCAAAGCTGCGCTCTCATAAATTCCTAACTGAATGAACACACAAGAGCAACGCAAGAGCCTACAATCGATGCCATTGGACAAGCAAAGACAACTTTCGCTTTCTTTTTCAAATGTTTAACTTGGGTGCTTGCACAACTGTCTATTCATGTATGCTAACCCATAACCGGCCATGATCCTTCAACATAGTCGAGGTTAGAGGAAAAATACTCTGAAATTAGAGTCTTGACATTTCTTGCAGAAAACAGGATACAACTACCGGTAACAATTAGAGAGGGAATGAGGAATGCAATGGACACACGCATACAAATGGAACATCAAAAAAACAGGCTAATAGACAATCTCACAGCAAAACATTGTAAATTCAAACTCGTTTCGGTTTGCGGTAACACCATGTGGGAATAACTACTATCGCTCAGTAGATATTTAGTTCTGATAAGAACGTCCTGCTTATTATCAACTTTCACTAAGTAGTTATAATTCTGATAAAGATTATTGTCAACTTTCGCTAAGTAGTTATAGTTCTGATAAAGAACAGTCCTGCTTTAAGTTTTAAAAGAACTTGTCTTTGGTCTCAATCTCTTTAACGAGTATGACACGCAAATGTTTAACATCAATGTCATCCATGTATTTCTTATGTGACGGATTCATGATGTACGTGATAAACGTAGTGACCATGCTGTGAAATTGCCTACTAAAACACTGAGCTCAGGGAACAAGCAAGAAGTAGCTGTTGAGCAAACTAATCTGCTGGGTGCCTTAAATAAAAACTCTGCGTTTTCTTAGCAAAAGAAAATGGGTAGCCAGCCAAAACGTCACGTGATGTACTGCAACTGTGTCTAGCTCTCAGCTAGGCACTGTTATCTGCTTTTACAGCATTGTGAAATTGAGATTTTCTCTGAAGAAATGAAAAAATGGCATCGTTTGCTGAAGAGAGCAGACTTAAAGCTATAGTCCATCATTTGCAGCCATCCGAAAAGGTAACTGGCGTATTATTGTTGAAAAACAATAATTGTTATTCGGCGCAGCGCGCGCAAGCATTGGCACGACGCACAGGTATGCGCTCGGTTGCTATAATTCGTTGGATCAGTGCGCGACATCGCGTATAGCTGCAATTCAAAACATAATTCAAAACATGATTCAGCAACTTTTGATTTGAAATTGAGATCCTAGAATGCTGTTTTTCTCGGAATATACAGCTGAAGCTGAGCTGAAACTTCATCAGGTTAGTTGTTCAGCATCCTGTTTAGATTTTGAACACTTTTGTTGCTTCAAACGAACAAAATGCACAAATTACAAATGATGGACTATATCTTTAAAGCTAATGGGATGTGTCAAGTTTGAAGGAACAAGCCATTGGAAAATTTGAATTTGCCAAAATGTTGGAGATAATATGAAGCATAAAAGTCATGAATGCGACTCTGTGGTATGAGAAGGATTTTTAGAGAACAGCCTCTTTTCTCGTATCTGCAAAATCCAAAAACCAGGAAAAATCTTTTATGAAGGCAATTTTTTTTTTTTGGAATAACAAATATTTCTGTCTATCTGACAGAAACAGAATTGATTACTGTCAGAGCATTTGCAGTAATTCCAAGCACATGACATGTTGGCTGGACAGGCAATTATGATTTTTTTTCTGTGAAACATAACAATGCTAAGCTGATAGGTGAAGAACATTTAAGCAAAATCAACAATCAAACAAGGAAAAACAAGGAGATACAGATTTTTCTTTGCTGACAGACCAACTGCCCCATAAGCAAATAAATTAGGTAATATTACTTTCCTCCATTCTAATTTATTCTACAGTATTACAACCCACAATTTCTTCTGATGATTGCAATAGTCCTTTTAACATGTTTAAAGGGATTGAAATGTTAAGTCTGTGAACAACACCTGTCTTGAATTTCATGAATAATTCATCAGGGGCCGGGTTGTGGTTTAATAAAGACTGGGTAATCTGGATTTTATGAATAATTATAAACCAGGGGGCGGGGTTGTGGTTTAATACAGACTGGGTGATCTGGATTTTATGAATAATTCATCAGGGGCTGGGTTGTGGTTTAATACAGACTGGGTAATCTGGATTTTATGAATAATTATTAATCAGGGGGCAGGGTTGTGGTTTAATACAGACTGGGTGATCTGGATTTTATGAATAATTCATCAGGGGGCGGGGTTGTGGTTTAATACAGACTGGGTAATCTGGATTTTATGAATAATTCATCAGGGGGCGGGGTTGTGGTTTAATACAGACTGGGTGATCTGGATGGGCATGGCTACATACCTGCTCCCTCTCATTCTTTTTGCGCGTCAGCTCCTCGCACGCCAACTCGTACTCCATCTGAATATAGTCTCGTTTTCTGAGCGTACCCTGAGGAGGGGAATGACAGTAACAGAAACGACGTCAGTATCTATAAACGGTGATGTTCATTAACCGCAACCCCCCCAGGCCCTTTTGCTAGATACCATCCTCAATCCTCCAAAAATCGTCTAAAATTGTGCACAAGTTTATATTAAAATGAAGGATACCCAGCACCTCAATCCTTCAAAATCATCAGACAGTCCTCCCTCTCAAAATGTATTCATCCTCAATCCTCCAAAATCCTCCTTTTCTTCAAACACCATTCATCCTCAATCCTCCAAACTCCTCATCTGTTTCAACACCATTCGTCCTCAATCCTCCAAAATCTTGGTTTTCGACTCTAAAAGGGCACGAGAAATCAGTCTACCCTGCCAGACCTGAGTTTGTACAGTAAGTATTCTACAACTAAATACTGGCTGATTTTTTTGGCTAATGTCTCATTCAAAAGTGATCAACTTTTGTATTGCTAGAACTTTTGCTTTTAAAAACAACATATATATTTTTGGGGGAAAAACTCAAAAATAGTACAATATGACAGCATATCTTTAAACGTATTAAACAATCATCTAACTCTCGTGTGAATTCCCAGCAGTTTCACACTTTCATTTTTGAGGAAGTGTCTCCATAATTACTGTGCATAAAGCGAACAATTGTCTGCAACACCAAGAAGAATCTCCTTGCACGTCAGCCTGTTTGTCAGAGTCCCTCTGTCTCTTTGAAAAAACAACCAGTTGTCAAACGGGATTTACGATCGACTAGAAACAAATGGGGCCTCGCAGCCGAGCGGTTAGAACATGGAGCTACGGAGTGGAAGGTTGGCGGTTTGAATACCATTCGGACCAAAAACTGGAAAACTCTCTCTGACGACTCAACAGTAAAATGGGTACCTGATTCGTTCAGGGAAGGTAAGACGGCGAGAGGAGAGGACTGGGCCCCGCCACTCATATGCCGCGCCCAAGACACAGTGGACCTCTAACATCCCACTGCCCCTACAGCCAGTAATGGCTATGGGATACCTTTACCTTTTACCTTAAGAAATAAATGGCACTTTGCTTCTGAAAGCTACATACCTTGACTGCATCTGAATACAGCATGTACTCTTTGGCAGCAGGGAGGAAATTGGTTTCTATGGATAACGTCTAAAAAAAAAATAAGAAAACAGAAAAATTGGGAACAAAACCTTTCCAGGAAAAATCAACATGAAGTAGAAGCATATGATTTCAGGATGACTTAATGAAATTTGTTTTTAACCAGTTCACGCCGGGAATATTTTGACAAGAACGGAACAAGGTGCAGGATTATTCACTCGACCTCAAGCCTGGCGGGTTGAAGCCATCACCCTCGGACAGCACACCAATATTTCCGGCCTCGCTCGCTGCGAGCCGGTCAATGCCAGATATATTTCCGGCCTCACTCTCTGCATGTCTACACGTCGTCCGGCGCGAACTGGTTCAGCAGTATCAGTGATATTTGATTTAATTATAATAAAGAACAATTACAATTAACGGAACACACAGTAATCAGGTGTTTCATGGTTGAGGCTGGCAGAAAGCCAAAAACTTGTACTTGGCCAGCCACCTGTGAATAAGCAATTAACTCTTTCAGTGCCAAAGTCGTACATGTACGAGGTATACTTGTTAGCTCGAAGTGCCAACCTCGTACATGTACGAGGTAATGTTCGTACTTAAAATCGCCAAACTTCGTATATGTACGAGGTAGAGTAAGCATGTTATCACAAGGGGGCGCTCTTGCTCTTTCTAATAATGACATTTTGATTCAGGTACGACCTGTATTTATTTGTTTCATTCGAGTTCTTGCGAGAGGGCGCAGCACTGACACTCGTATTTTCTGCAAAAAGTGCGGAATTCCCCTGTGTGCAGGACAGTGTTTCAGGGTGTATCAATATGTACGTGACTACTATTGACTTTCCAATGTACCAAGGATATACCAGAGAGCAACAACAACAAATTTAGTGAGTAAAACTTATTTACTTTTTTTTACAGAATTTTGAACAATTACAAAAAACGCTCGAAGTTGGGCACTTTAGGGTTAAACTTTTCAAATTTCGCGGGCACTGAAAGAGTTAAATGTAACTTTATACCCTCCCCCCCCCCCCAAAAATACTTAAACTAAGATTGACTTACCATGTCCTTGACAGATTTGGCACATTTGTCTAGACAGTCTCCCAGGCTACCGAGCGTGTCCGCCAGCTCGACTTCCGAGTTGCCCCATAGTCTGTACGTCGGGCCGTAGGACTCATATTCAGCCCCCAGATCTGGGAAAATGATTTAGAAGGAGGAAATGGTCAGGTAAACAAACTGGGATCTCATTCCCTAGACGCAAAGGTTGTCCTGGTCAGGGGTTCGGACCAATCTTGGTGGTACCATCAGCGTCGTTTACATATTCCTCACGGCCAGGGGCTAGTGAATGAACGCGCACGTGCCCATGGAGTCGAGGCTGGTGATGGACTTGACACTGGTAAGCACACAATGGTGAGCTTAAGTGCTGAATTCTTCAGTTCGGGGCCCAATTTCATAGCACTGCTTTAACAGCAAGCAGAAAAGTTGTGCTTACTGTAGCAGAAAATCATGCTGCTGCTTAAGCACTATTTCATGCTAACATTTGCGTGCGCATGGAGATTTCTATTGTTACGTCACTGACTTAAGGCCAAAAAAAAGTCGGTCTCTGGTCAGCGCGCGCGTCGATTTTAATCATGCGCGTCGATCTTTTTTTTCCAAAATGTTCCGCGGTAGCTCCAACAGCGCCCTCTATTTCCGCACCTCCTCAATTTGTTTTACCAAAGAGCACCAAGGAATGGGAAATTGCACCAAGGCAAATGATCGAAAGCACCAAGGCAAATTATGGAGGACACCAATGTACATGAGGACACCAAAAAAGCAAAAAAGTACCCCACCTTGTCTGTACAATCCAAGCTTGAGAAAAAAAATAAAATAAAATAAAAATTAAAAAAAAAAGCCGCGTTGCCACGTCAATTCCGGAACTTTGGTCTGACCAGAGACCGAATATTTTTTTTTTGGCCTAAGCAAAGTTTTCTTCTGGGGTTAAGCGTGCTTTTGCAGTGCTTACTGCTTAACGGTCCCTATGAAATAGATGGAGGCTCGGTAAGCACAAAGTCCGCTGTTAAGCAGCGCTATGAAATTGGGCCCTGAAGAGGTCTCCTGAAAGTAGCCAAGGCTGTGTCCGAATCACCTGGCTATAGCTTGCGATTAATGGACACAGTGTACAGCTAGTCGTATCCAAGTAGTTTGGACAGAGGCTAACGAGGCTCTTACCCATCTGTTCCTTGAGTATCCTCTGTGAGATCCTATCCACCGATGACATCTTCTCTGCGAAGGTGTTGATGTACTCAGTCATCATGGTGAACTCGGGGCTTCGGTTTTTCAGCATCAGGGCCGAGGTGGTGGTCTTGATGGTGGAGCCGATGCGGCTGACGATACCCGAGCTGGCCTTACGGTGGGACGTCAACTCCTGGTTTGAAAACAGGGTTATTTGTTTCTGTCAAACGGAGTCACCGCTGGACAAAGTAATTTAATATTGGAATAAGATCCCTATAAACCACCTTAAATACTCAAAAAAAGTTCCATTTAGCTGGACATTGTAGTTGTTTTTTCCAGGATTCCCGGCAGCTTATGAACACAAAATTGCCTGAGATTTCCCAGATATTTCCCTAAGAAATTTCTAAAATTCCATGAGAAATGTTTTCACTTCAATGAGGTTGCTGGGAAGTCAAGAGGTGGTGTCGCATGGCTAACTGTTATTGTCTACAGAGATGTGTAATATTCACACTGCATAAACAATAAACAACATGGACACGACTTGAATGCAAGGCACAAGACGCACATACGCCAAACTCCCCGTTTTTCCCGTTGTATTGTCCCAAATTCTCAGAGTTTCCCCTCAAGGTTTTCCCTGATATCCAGATTGGTCGTTTTTTTGCATACAAACTTCTGGTAAAGCAAAGCAGGGTCTGTAAAATAATTATTGTGTCGTATAGTGCTTCCTATGACCCAAGTAAACTTGTGGTCTTGTGGTATATTTCTCATTACTGATCTTTATGAACAACATCCAAAAGTAAAATCAAGTCAAATTTTTTCCTTTATGACGATATCCATCTAAACTACAAAGTTGCGTGTTCTATTAGGCCAACCATTTACATGTACAACAATGAAGGAGAATGTTTTTGCACATGATGAGCAAAAAGAAATTGTCTACACAACCTAAAACATCCAAGTTCTACCAGTGCCAAGTGTGCTATCTGCACTATGTCTACAACCACCAAACATTATATCTTATAATAGTTTATGCGGTACCGCTGCTATGTACATCAGATTTAAACCAGCCAACCGATCCCGTTAGCTCGGTGGTCGAGTGGTAAGACATCTGCACTAGAAAGCAGGAGGTTGTGGGTTCGAGTCCCACCCAAGTGATTTTCTTCCAACTTTCACTCGGGAAGTAACACACTGAGTATACAGTGTTTGAACGTCGGTGAAGGGCAAAACCTATAATTTGATTTATATTACCCCGACGCAAAAAATTCCATCTTATAATAACCACCAAACATATGATAGCACGACAACTCACGACACTGCAAATCCTACACGACATCAAACCACACAAAGTTTTACCCATGCCTTGGCAGTTAGGAAGACCTTGAGGTACTCGTTGAAGGAGACCACGGGGTGCTCCGAGATCCGCTGCATGAACTTGTGCAGCGCCGCCTGCCGCGTGATGGTGAAGTCTTTGCTCAGGCGATCCATCCTCATGCTGTGCTTCTCCGGCAAGGGCTGAAAGCAGAACGAAGAAACAAATTAACCCTAACTCCCTAGGCCTTTTTGCTAGGTTGTAGCCTCAATCCTGCCAAATCCTCCAATTAGCCTCATGGAAAAATAACATATAGCCTCAATCCTGCAAATTCCTCCATTATTTCTTAAGTATGATCCGTGGAGGGGTGACCACTGCCTGAATCCTGCAAAATCCTGCGGCAGTGACTGTCAATATGTTGAGGCTTGGCCAGTGACATCCTGGAGCAGTAACGGAGGATTTCAAGCATAATCCAGGCCTATATTTATGCATGGCTGAGCAAAAACAACACAAGGCCCGGCCCAAGACCTTGACAAAGTGCATCCTACGAAATCAGTAACGCACATTTGCCATGAAACCTGAATCCTCCAAAGTCTTTCACTTTGGCAAAGAGGATCTTGAAGGATTCAGGGCGGTTAGGGTTAATAAATTCTCATTTATAGGCATTCTTCATCCCTTGAATCCAAAGCTACCCTGTAATTAAGGACTTAGGGTTAAGGATTAAAGTTAAGGAACGGGGTCAATCAGACTAGCCTATCTTCCTCACCGGTATAATATGAGTTTCTTCCGTTTCTAAGAGTTTCTGTCTTAACCAGAGGAAATCTTGGTAGCGCCGTCTCACGCTGTACTCCGGTTCGTCAAATGCACTTCTTGTGGTCTGCGAAACAAAGTAAAAAAAAAAAAAAATGTAGAACCAAAAATTAACACTACATGTACCTCCCTTATAGTTCATCTCGGAAAATTCCTGAGTAACCTAAAAAAAAAGAAGCCACTACTGTATGCACAAATCTGAGGCACATTTCATGGAAACTCATATTATAGTGTGGTGCTGTAGTCCAATGGTTACGGTGTTCGATTTGTGTGCCGTGGTACATGGGTTCAAATCCTGACCGTGGGAACATGGTGCTTGTGCTCTTGATCAAGGCACTATACCATTATTGCTTCGTCCTTCGGATGGGACGTAAAGCCGTAGGTCCCGTGTGTTGTGTAATGCACGTTAAAGAACCCAGTAACACTTATCGCTAAGAGAAGGGGTTTGCCCCGGTGTTTCTGGCAGTGGCTGCAATATGCACCGCAGCACCTTGTCAACCCTTATAAGGTGCTACATAAGGGGTCTCATATACTTTATTTACCTTTCTTTAATAATAGACTTAATTTCCAGCGCCTTGAGTACCTAATAGTTGGTAGATAAGTGCGTTATATAAGACTCCATTATTATTATGGTTCAGATTTTCAATGATTGACTGGTGTTATGACATTTTTTACAAGCTTCTTCTGACTATTGAATAATGATGCAATCTAGCCCCCAACCTCATTGTCTTATCAAAATTTGTGCCATTCTCATGAATTGTTTATTCCCAATACTCACCCTAGTGAATACTCTATATGTGATGTACGTATCTATCGTAAAGACATGTTTTTGGAAATCGTCAACGGTGATGAAGAGATCTTTGACATCTGGTTCTTCTTCCAGCTTCATGGATCCCATGATAGCAGAGGGTCGGCCTTCAGTACTGGAGACTTTGGCGGGTGCTCGGATAACCTAAAAATGAGTACACATAACAAAAATATTGGAAAACAATAAGGGTAATCCTTACCTTTAGGACCCCGTTCCCATATAAGGTTAAAAGACTCAATAAAACAGCTGACTAAATGACACTCAAAAGTGACATTCTGATATTTCTTGACACATTTGAACAGTTGGCAATGACACCTTCTTGAATATCAGCAGGTTTAATTTTGTGGAAAGAGGACAGGGCTTTGATTTATGAGGGGTATTAAGAGACGACGATGACAAACAGAAAATATATTTAAAAAAGCAAGATGGTGAACTGCAAAAAAGGTAGGAAAGTCACATTTTCTTTGAAAGTGCTTTCAAAATTACAACTAACATGAGTTTATCTGAGAAAAAAGACTGCTTTAGCCTGCAAAAGTCACTTTGGTACTGGACAGTCATCTGCAAAAGTCAGTTTTGAACAGATCTCGTAAAAATAGAGGTGTCCTAAAGATAAGGATTACCACAATGATAAAATTAATCCCAACTTTCTTAAATTGGCAAATTTGCAAGAACCCTCCTTTATAATGTGATTTTTTAATACAATGTAAAATGCAAAACAAAAGAGGAGTTTCTGCAACTGCTTCGTGAAACCTATCCCCTTTTTAAAAAAAGTTAAACATTTATGTTAGTTTAACAAAGACGAAACCCAATTCAGTTAGAAGAAAAAAAGGGGTGGGGACAGTCATTTGTTTAAAAAGTTGCAATCATTCGTGGTCACTTCATGAACTAAATATTTTTGATGAAGCCATACTCCTATATGGCCTAGGGCCTATCAAAATAAATTTTAAAAAAAATCTCCTAAATACCGTAAACTGCCTGCATGAGCATTGCCAGGATTTTTGGGGGGTCAAAGCAAATGTTCTCAATAGATCTTTTTTTTTTAAGGGTGATCGGGGGGGGGGGGGGGGGGGGGGGGGGACATTTGCCCACCCAACCCCCAATTTCACCTCTGCAGATGCCCATTGCCCATGTTGTTAAATGTGTATTAATTTTTTCATAAGATAGAATCAAATCAATTTTAGCAAATACGACACACCTCTTTTTCCTATTTTCCTTTCTCTTTTTCTCTTTTTTTCCCCGCTTGGGTAAGCCCCTCCCCCATAACCCCCCCCCCCCCAACGGCCTACTCCGAGCAATAATTACTGTCATCTTATTCTAATCGATCTGAAGTGCAACGCCTCTTGAACACTTCCCATTGCGGCAATGCATTGTCACTGCACACTCGCACTCGCAGTGTCGCACAGCAAAAGGGTCGTACATGTAGGCCGCCTAGTGTACTGTGAGTGTGACACTGTGCTGTGCTGCTAGTGTGCAGTACCGGTGCAGACTGCGCTAGCTTAATTTATAAAAGGTTCACTTTCACACAACCAAATCAATTTTCTCAGCAATGAAAACATCAATTAATCCTTACAGCAATAATGTCTTCCTCGTCGTCCGTTCCGGAGGATAGAGGGTTTTGTAATGGATCTTCTTCGACGTCTCGTGAGTCGGTTTTTTGAGTTTCGTCCGCCATGTTTGCTGACATGTAGGGAAACTGCAGCCTCGAACTCGAACACTCTTCTTCTGTAATAATTATACTGCTGAATTTTAATTCAATGTCACGCTCTAACGACGGACACAATATTACAGTTTCACTTTCAAATTAACATTTCTTTGATGTCGTTCCTAAAATTTATATTTAAGGTATTTGTACTGATAGTTTAAAACATTGCTTGATAGAGGATAGTTTATTTTCAGATGATGATCCTGGAAAGTTCTATATTTCAGTTTTTCAGTCTTTGAGATTGTTTATATTATCAAAATTCACCCAATTAAGAAACACTTGACATGTCCGGTCCGGGTCCAAGTGGCGGTCAAGGTTAGGAAGAAATTGTTGGTCTTATTTTACTCAAATTGTGCTTCATTGCAAAGGCCGACATTGGCACGTGCAAGATGAAGATGTGTACACGTTCATTCCATAATACTTACTAGGCCCTGTGTATTTTGCACATGTATTTGAACATTGTATTTGTAGGCCTACATCATACGTCATGTACTACATGCGTCACGTGTATAGTGGTACCATATTTTATGGAACACTATAGTTTTAATCATTCTTGATAGTTGTAATAATTTAATTTTAATCCATCGCAGGTAAAAAGGGGGGGGGGGGGAAATAAACATATAAATTGTCGTATTAGTATTACTAAAAACGTAAAAGCCTGCGATGACTGTACTACACATATTATGTGGGTTGATGATTACGGGTTGATTCAAATAAGTCACACTTTTATAGTTTTAAAGACCTTTATTGTAACAATTTTATACCATGATTTTCAATTTTTCAAATGCTACAGAACAGCAGAATCGGCTAAAAATTCTGGAGGATTTGCAACAGCAGAAGAAGAGATTACAGATGCAGACAGGAGCCCCAGGGTTAGTCGACATTGCCAACCCCCCAACCCCCCCACCCAAGAGAGGGGCATGTTTTTTATTTATTTCACTCCCCCCATCTCTTGCCCAACCCTGTTTTCACAGTGGACCAGTCTGGCAATAAGTCCCACCCACTGCTCGTGCTGTGGGCGGGGTTACAACACCACACCTCTCAATGCTATGCATACCCAACATTCTCCAGCCATGGCCCGTCATTTGCTGTATGTAAGTTGTGGGGATTTTGCCAGACTTTTGGTCGTGCAATAGAATAACAGCTGTGATTGGTCAACACATCATGGGCGGGACCTAAAATGGACCAGTCCGTCAAGGTTCTAGTTACTTAATTGTGGATGTAGAGATGTATCTGTTGAATAACATGTCAGTTATCAGGCTTCTGCCAGACTTTGGTCATGCAATAACAGCCGTGATTGGTCAAAACCTCATGGGCGGGGCCTAAAATGGACCAGTCCATCAAGGTTCTAGTTACTTAATTGTTGATGTATAGATGTATCTGTTTAATAACATCTGTGTCAATTTTTTTTCTCAGAGCACCTTTACCGGCACAAGCGAGAGCAAAGGAGGCTCCTGGTGGACAAGTGAGTATGATTTATAATATTTCATATTGAACAATACATTACCGAGCACAAACATGTCAGGTATGGAAATGCATTGGTACTCATCTAGTGGTACTGTACATTGTGATTGCAGAACAGGGGGCCAACAGACGCCAGGAATTTAGACCAGCGGCAGAGACAAGCACTACAGGTAGACCTCTCAATGTATTCTCTGAAATCCAATATCTGTGAAGATGTAATATAGTCTGTTATAAATTGTAACCTGCTACAGCACAATGAGGAATAACCCCAAGTCTGTGTTACTGATATCAAGTGTTTAAAAGCCATAATTTGTTGAGACACGTAGCTGTCAAATTGTTAGTCGTTCATAAAACTAGGGAGAAGACCATCACTATTTGCAGACCATTTCTGCAATTAGTGTGTACAGCTGGGCGTATTTCGAAGGAAAGGAAAGAAAAAGGAAGAAGACAAGCTTTTTCCTTGCAGATGATGATGACAATGGCAGCAACACTGCAGGGTGGAGGGGAGGAGAGGGCGGGGCAAGCTCCTGTCATAGATGAGACTAGTCAGCATCCAGTAGGTGGAGCCAATGACCTGCAGGCTGGAGCCAATGTTGCAGTGGGCGGAGTCAATGATCGAGTGGGCGGAGTCAATGATCCACCAGGCGGAACCATTGATCCACCAGGTGGAGACAGTGATCCAGTGGGTGGAGCCAATCAGCTAATGGGTGGAGCCAATGAGGAAATGGGTGGAGCCAGTGTTCCAATGGGAGGTGCCAATGATCCCATGGGCGGAGCCAATGATCCCATGGGAGGTGCCAATGATCCCATGGGCGGAGCCACTGATCCCATGGGTGGAGCCAATGATCCCACGGGTGGAGCCAGTCATCCAATGGGCGGGGCCAACGACGCAGACGGCGGAGCCGATGATCCGGAAGACGGGGCTGTGGACAATGATCCTGATGTTGAACTTAAGAAAGCGCGCGATTTTGACTGCGGCTGTCGCTCCGTCAGCAACAAAGCTTGTGTTCGTCAGTTTACCGCGGAGGAGATTGTCCGCATCAGATTAGACTTGAGGGAACTCACAGGAGGTAACATAAAGTGTTATTAATTATTATCGCCATTCCTGGCTTTTGTCAAATTTTCTCCATTTCTTATTACAAGGGAGGGCCTTCATTAAAACTACTGAAAATCCAATATAATGTAAGTAGTAGTGCATGTACATGTAGTTTAAAAAGCAATGGCCCTATTGCCAGTTGAAATTAATTCTAGTTCAAAACAAGTCTCCAAGTATTTGCCTTGTCTCTGTTGGAGAAAAATATTCATCACATTTATTATTTTTTTTTATTTGCTAAAAAAAAAGGAATACCATATTTGCTTGGGGAAATTCTGTTTGACGTTTGACCCTCAAATGTTCAGTTGTTAATTATGAATGCTTATAATATCAGAGTTCATGGGTCGGAGGTCACAAATATCAACCATTTTGTTCTGCACAGGGGAGAAGGACCTAATACTCTTGGGAATCTTCCACACTGCAATGAACACCAGTAAGAACATCCAGACCAAAGGTCGGAAAAGGAACGAAGTGAAAGAACGAACGCGGACAAGAAGTACCTACACCGTACACTCCAAGCGAGTTTGTGCCACGGCCTTCAGATATCTCCATGCGTGAGTGCCGATGGCTTTTCGGTTTTGATAAGACAAACTCCTTTTGTGCCTTGTTCTTAAGGTACTTTGGACTTCATTTCTGACTGTAAAATTGCAAAACATTATTGTATTCACAGAAACATCCGTTGTGAGCATTCTGCACCATTCAAACGTACCCACACTTGGCCCGTGCAAGTACCGTTAGGTTATAAACGTCATTTTAAGGATTTACAAGGTGCTGCGGCGCACATTGCAGCCACTGCAAGAAACAGGGCAAACCCCTTCTCTTAGCGACAAGTGTTACTGGGTTCTTTAACGTGCATTACCTAACATATGTGCCTACGGCTTTACGCTCCAAGAAGAGAAGAGTTTGCTTGAAGGTGGCATCACGCGACCACAATATAATGTACCCTGGTCTGTAGCTGTGCCCAGCTGTTGCAGTTGTGCTTACTTTTGACATTTTTTTTTCATTTCGTGTTAATGTTTCCGTGCAGCATCAGCAAGAATAAGCTGACGGCGGTACAGCGCTGGTACCGGGAGCACGGGCTCACGCCACGCCGCAAGAGATCGGGCGGCCGCAAGGAGAGCAAACGCACCCTCAAGTTTGAGGACACCAGCAGGCTGGTCCAGTTCATCAAGAACTTTGCCGAGGAGCACGCGCTGGCTTTCCCCGGCAGGACGCAGGGCTCCAAGACGGCCGACCGCCGCGTCTTGCCATCGACGCTCACCAAGTCCGGCATCTGGAGGAACTACTACAGCCCCTGCATGCAAGCCTTAGGTACAATTCAGAAGTAGTTTTGCAGTTGTTTAATTTCCGCAAATAAATTTTGTTTCTTCAATTCTTTGCCCTAAAGTCATGGAGCTGCGTAAACCCTTGGCGTTGGTATGGTATTTTCCATGCATGGCTTCAGGACTGTACTAGTGGACAATTTACTGTACCTTGAGCCATAAACCCGTATTTGCCATAAGGCCAGGGATCACACCCAAAGTCAGGATGCTAGCAACATTGGCAGTGATGCAAACCTGGTTCAAACCCCGCTCCACTATTGTAATTTCCCTTTTCAGTTTCCATTTGTGGTTTATATTAAACAATTGATATTATTCTACTTATTGTATTTGTCGCAGGCTTTAGGGCAGCCCAGCTCAGCACTTTCAGGAAACTATGGCAACAGCTCTGCCCCAACATCGTCTTCAAGAAGACGGCCAAGAAAGAGAAACCCGCCAATCCAGCCGCATCCAAGCCACGCCTGATGAAGCGTCCCAACCAGGCGACAGCGCCCTCTGTGTCAAGCACGAGCTTTACTTTCACCACAGATAGTTGGCACTAGTGCATTACGTTCCCGCTGTTAACGCAATATGACTTCTGGATTGTTACAGAAATAATGACAATTTTAAACAAGAAAAGTTGTGCTGTATGATATTTTCGCTTGAAACAGTCCAAAAATGAGGCATCATTAGGGAGTGCTCAAGTTATACAGCATTGCACACTTCGAAAAGTGAGATCAACATGTGTAAAAATATATTTATTTTATTAAAACTCTATACCTTTTCTTTCAGCCAGTCTGATGAAAACTGATATTATACTTATTTTAGACTTGATAAACAGTAAGTTCAGATAAATTCTGCTCGACCGTTTCTTGCAAACTTTATACAGTGAAGGAAGCAAAGCTACAATGTCCACAGAATTAGAATTTTCCTTGGTACTAAATATTAAAAAAAAAGACTTCATACACGTGAGCATTCACAAATCTAGGCCTTGACACCTGCATACATGTAAGTTAGCAGCTTTTCAGCTACAGTCATAGCATATCATTTCTACTAAAACTGACATTTTGTGAAAATTGTCCTAGGTTCGCAGCTGTTTATTTGTCACTACTGTAACTCGGTGTGTTTTGAACATATTTTATGCTGATCAGCATGTTTTTGTACATGTATAATCCTGTTTGTGTTAATTTCTCCACTGTTGTGATGTTCCCATTTATTGCCATTAAGAGTTGTAAACAGTAATAAATGATTAATAACTCTTTTGACTGAAGAGAATTGTATGGTGTCAGTTGAAGTTTCTTGTCGCCGGATATGTTTAGTCGCCGTTCAGTGGTTTTCATGGAACAGCAACTTTCAAGCACCAATAAAAAAAAAGTCTGCAACAAGGTGCATTGTTGCACAACAGCATGCGCAGTTGCTGCATTTTGACAAGCAAGTCTAGAAGTCTATCTGCGGTTTGTCATTGAGGAAAATGCAGGGAACAGAATAGCTAAAGATGTGGCTGACATCACCGCTGTGCATTGACTTATCAACCCTAACCCCCTTGAGTGATTTTCTAGGAACCTTCCTCACTCCTGCAAATTCCAACACCATATGGTAAACTGTACATGCAAACTGTTGGACTCTGACAATGGTGGTATGCCTGACCCCATGTAAAGCATAATGCAGTACTCACTCTAACAGATTCCAACAAACCCCGGTGTTGGAGTTTGATGGGATGGGGATTGTTTAGGGTTAATACATGAATTTCAACCCTGCTGGGGACAAGGTTGCATGTGTCCATGGGCAAGACATTTTATCAACATGTGCTTCTCTCCCCCTGGTTTGTTTCCTATAAATGTACTTGACAGATATCGTTGACGGGAGAGTGTGTCTGCTATGCTGCAAGAACTCCAGTGGGCTTCGCTTGAAGAAAGACAAAAAACATCAAGTCTCCTTCTGATGTACAAGATCCGACATTATCTCGTGGCAGTTAGCCCTGACCTCTACCTCATTTCAATGGTTCCTTCATCAACGAGATCATATCATCCTAATAAGTACCAACCCATTCAAGCTTGTCTCCAACTACACCGCTACTCATTTTTCCCCCGCACAGTCGCCTGGTGGAATACACTCCCTGGAAGCACCTTGGTATCCTCACCAACTTATGAGGTGTTTAGGGGAGCAGTAGCAGCAGCCTGTCCAGAATTCCATGGATGTTTTTACTTGCACCCTGTATATATCTGCACTGAAAGGCACTCTCACTGTACATGTACATCAAGTTTTCCTCGGCACTACATCCAAACTTAAGACGTTGCTGAGTACCGCTGTAGAAGTAGAAGTAGAAGAAGTAAAGGAATCAATCACATAGTGACAACAATATGTCAAAATCTACATGAACTCCTCATTGTGCTGTAGTGGGTTACGATTGTGCTAACAGTTCTCTAGAAAATGCAAGATATATCAAATGTACCCGTTGTCTTCGATAATCCAAAATTCTTCACGAGTTTTATAATCTTTGTCCAACAAACACAAGACTTCTGGAAGTAACAAGATTCTATTTTTGTGAACTGGGATTTGTTCATCCTTGTTTGTCAAATAGTAATGCATATTTTGTCATTCAGATTATTTCAAAATCTGTACCTGACGGCATTTTTCCTATTTTTCCTTTCAGCACGCACATTCCAACTCCTTTGCCTACTTCATCACTCAGGATTCTTCCTTCGGAAACCTCATTCTGCCGGTGTTGCCAAGACTTCCTGCGGATTGAAGGGAGGGGGAGGTCTTCCTGAACTGCTTGGACAAAACAGAACTCCAGCTTCCAGAGAAATAGTTGGCCGCAAGAAAGTGGCATTGCGCTCATCTATTTGCATTTGAGACGTTGAAAACTGCAGTGTTCAAGACTGCATGTTTACTTTCAAGTATAGTTTGTGAGGCTGGGGGATGTTTTTCTAAAAACTTTGCGTCCTTCTTGGACATCACATTTTGCCTGTTGGCATGTTCTTGTGGACGACTGTTTTATATGGAAACAGAGAGATATCATCTGGCTGTGAAAAGACGGCAAAGTTTCAACAGGAAAGTAATAAGAGACAACTATCACGTGGTCTGTTTGTCGGATCATTGCACCAAATTGAACTTAACAAATTTTCAAAATCTTTCTCGGTTTTAGACTCTTTACGGTGTATTCCATAATTGCTCTTTTGTAAATTGAAAAGTGGTTCAAATCAGTCGAAGTTGAAATGTTCAGTTTGTTTGTGTATATTTTATTGCATTGTTGAGATAAACCTTTACAAAAAAGCCAGGGTCACATTAATGCATTTTGTAAATATTTCAAGCCAAAACTTTCAAATTTTCTCAAAACCTGTATTTTTTTGTGCAAGTGTGCCCAACTTTTATGGCAAGTGAATGAACACACATTTTGCAACATACCAAGCCTTCTAGAATATAACACCAAAGCAGAACAACTGAAAACTAATTCCACATTTAAATTTCTTTTGTCCCTTGTCCCTTGTCACAAGTGTGGCGGGGACTCATTAAGGCACTTTTTTTGGGGGGGGGGGGTAAAAAGGTAAATATTTATAAATGAATGGACATGATCATTATCAGTCAATTGACTTCCATGGAGGTGTGGTTGCTGTTAATGCCCCACCCATATGATTTAAATAATCCATGGTAGCCCCTCCCATCCTGGTTTTTGTCTTCGTCTGCACTGTAAGAATGAGGTGTCACAAAATATGCATGTACTGTTATAATATCCATTTTAATTGAAACTGACAACAAAATAAAACAGCAAGAGACCTGATTGGTGGTTCATGCTATGTGTGTATATTTATATCTTTTCTTTCCTTTTTTTGGTTTCTTTCAGTGAGGCAAATGACAAAGGGTAGGTCAGTGCAACGGGAACACAATTTAACAATTCGTAACAATTACCAGACAACTTTGCATTCCATTCTTACAAATCGTCCACCAACGACATTGACAGCTCGCCTTTACAAAAACTTGCATCGGTTTTCAATACTCGACTTCAACGCAGTCCCATTTCAGTCCAACGTTAAGACAAAGGCAGATATACATGTCGTATGTACATGGGGATAATGTTTGCGTAACAGTTTATTATGCATAACTCGTACAATTGTGACCTGTTCTGTCAAAAGCAGACGCTTCTGGGCAGAGGTTCAAGTTGAGATGGAGCCAAAAAATGCCGTGGGGTGATTTTTTTCTCGATATTCTAATTTTTGCATATTTGTAATCCTGAACATGTCTAAAATATACTATAAAAGTTTGAAACCGTAATTTGAACTCTAAATATAGTCTTTTTGATGATTTGTTTGTTAAGGTATATCAGGTAAAGAAAGGTCTGTTTCGTGACGTTTGTGGCCATTTTCTCCGTTTTCTACTTTTCGACACGATGAACTTCAAAATAGCATAACTTTGCCCAGGAGTGACCGGTTTCAAAAATAAAACCACCTTTTAAAAGGAAAATGTACATATTTTAACAATATGCAAAAATCTCATTTTTGACTTTGTGCCCAGAAAAGTCTGATTTTGACAGAACAGATCACACATATGTTTGGGTATTTTAATCAGTGGGAATGTGGTTTGTGTGGTTAGTGCATAATTATTGTCTACCATTATCTACTCATTACAGTTAGTTCTATGGTATGTTGTCTATATACATGCACATGTACATCTGAAACCAAAACCTTTATTATATTTAATATTTCCTGGATGATGAGAGGATTTCCTCAGCAAGAAAATTGTGATGTGTTCTGTTAAAAAAACAAATACTATCTGTTCAATTTTTTTTCACATCTTTCCTATTTTGTAGTTGCTGGATAAATTACCATTTTTTTCTGGCCTAATGTAAAATCCTCTCCATTCAATAAAAGTGTATAACAAAGTTTCTGTGCAGAACAAGTGCAAACGTACACTCTTGCAGGGGTGTAAAATCTCAGCTTTTCCCTCACTTGCTGTGTACAAAAGTATAGGAGATCTCCAAAATTCAGCTTTTTTTTTACACCTTTTCCAGCTGTTTTCAGCTATTTTTTTTTTCAGTGGTCACTCACACCCCTGCTCTTGATCGTACACAGATTTGAAGTCGGTCTTTTAGTACCTACGGCCAAAAACATAAATTAAATGCACAGTAATGCGTTCCTATACAGAAACTATACAGACTCTAAACCTGTATTTTTCCAGTTTTTGGATTCATGGATTTCGAGGCTTCTTTTTAGCTGTAACTGCCTGGGACTGACGGACCCAAACTCAAGCGCAACACGGCTTCAAGGCCCACGGCTTCAAACAATTCCCTGGCTACTGACATTAAGGGGAAATTCTTCCCACTTCCAACGAAAGTAGACTTGGCCCCAGTCTGGTTCTGCACTTGGCCCCAGTCTGGTTCTGCACTTGGTCTGTGCAGTATGATTTAAACTAAAGTCAGACTTGAGTGGAAGTTATTTCCCGTTTCAACCAATATCTTGGCGTAAGTCGGAGCTGCACAGAACCACCACATTACAAAATGTATACGTACTCTACACAGCTGCTTGTGAACAGTAAATAAAATCTCTAATCTGCAAAACCAAAGAAAAATATCAACCGACCGACACATGTTTTTCAGGCATTTAAGGCCTTTTTCTGTACACTCCCTATTATTTACACACTATATGCCTCTGGCCAAATCTTAATAGTCCTTTTACCCAACATTTTTGCACTATTAGACTCAAAACAATAGACTGGTACCACACTGTGTGATTCTGCCCATATGGTTAAACAGGATACTAGACAAAATGGTGCCCATAAAATGTAAAATCTAAACTGAA